TAGCATACCATGTTATTTGCACAACAGAAATATTTACTATTTTAGAAAGCAGTAGAAAATAGGCTTTTATATTGAAATCATTTTTTGTGAAAACATGATGAAAAACCTCTGATAACTCCATCTGTCAACAGATTTATACTTTAATACTGTTGAGCAAATGCAGTGATTGCTTACAACCCTCTACAAATATATATAAAATATAGGTTTCAAATAATACTAGGCTGAAATGTCACTTGCTTACAAAGCGGAATGAAATACTGTAATCTAGAAAAATCTCATTTTTCTTCTCAGTTGTATATTTCCTATTATATGTACAAATAACTCCTGAAATTACAGTAATTGAAATACACTAATGTGATAAAATTGTTTCCATTTATTCAGTTTGTTTACTCTGTATATCTCATAACACATTTTGTTCAGCTGATACTACTATTTGCTGATGGTGATTGGTACTTTCCTCATGTGATTCCTCTTCCACCAGCAATTTCATGCTGTTGCCATTCAATCTACTTTGCTGGAAATATACTTATAAATAAAGGTTGGTCAAAAGCTCTCTAAACCTATTTCTTTTTCATATATGTATGTGTATAATCTAAGACAGTATTTATATAGGTGAGCATTATAATTAGGATTTAGTCTATAATGGTCTTAATTGAAAAAAAATTAAGCTGATTTTTTAATACAATGTTGTAATACTTATTAGTAATTGCTAAAAGGTTATATATCAGACTCTTGAGTTACAATGTGATTTTCAGCAGAACTGACTCCTTTCATCCTTGATACTTAATTTGATCCTCGAATCTTTAGCTATTACTGTAATATTTGGAGATCGTGAGTATTATTTAGGTGGAATGTGAGTACAAGTTATTTCATATGCTGCTTTATATGCCATTTGGTCCAAATACTCTACTTCTACTTCTATGCCTAATTTTATACAGGTAGTACTTTTTGCAAAGTTTCTAAAATTGTGGTATTGTTTGTCTATGTCTTTTTTTCCCTATTTGTATCCCCTATCTCCCCCCCTCCCCGACTTGGGTTGTGAGCCGCCCTGAGTCCCTTCTGGGAAAAGTGCAGCATAGAAATATAATAAATTCAATTCAATTCAATTCAAAGTATTCCGGCTGTTAAATTAACTGGGACAAATATTGTCTGCTTCCCTTAGGCTCTAACATATAAACATAGTTATACAAAGAGTTGAATATTGTGATTTTCACTGAGCATATAACATACTTGGGATGTTATATTGTCCAAAGTTTTTACAAACACTTCAATAAATATATCGAAACTTTTAGAAAATTATGAATTGGATGCAAATAGATGAATTAAGATCCAACTATGTCCCTGGGATAAAATGTTAATATAATGAATATTATCCTCTGTTTGATTTTTGTCCTTCAAAGTATCCCAGTGTAAATATCAAATAAATATTTTCATCAAATTGATAGTTTATGTAGGGAATTTACTTGGGGTAGCCCACCAAGGTCTTCATATCAGGGCTATCTCTGATCAATCCCAAGGAAAGAAAACTCTTGACTTCCTAGATTCAGAGAAAAGGTACTTTTACTAGGAAATAACTCATTGTAGCAAAAGTCAGGCAAGATCTGAAACAAAATGCAGACAAAGAGACAAATTGAAACTAACCCCGAGCCCAACCCACAGTAGCCAGGCAACCAGAGTTCAATCATCAGTCAGGAAGATGTTTTGGGAACATTTCTGGTCCAGGTACATCACTCCTCCTTCATGCATGCCGTTCCAGGACGATTGGCCTTGAAGATGTTAAACAAACCAAACTGGCTTCTCTGCATCCAGGCCTCCCCATCGCTTCTCAGAAATTCAAGTTTCACCTCCTGCATGCTTCCCCTCCCAAATACCCATTGGTTATTCCCCCACTGTTTCCATGGCAATTGGCAACGAGCTTGAAGGAAAGTGAGAATGTCCAGACTGACACTTCATTAGCTAAATTGAGACTAGCACTTGAGGTGTCTCTTTGATTCTGCTATTTTGCAAAGGAATCATTGGGCTTATATTTTATCAGCCATGAGTATTAGAATGAAAAGTTAGTGTAACTTCATCCTTTATGGACTATTTTGCAAAGTCCTATTTATTGTTTTGTAATCATGGCAAGTTCTACCACCACAACATGTAGTAGAAAAGGTATTTTATTTCTTGGAGTTCTGGTGATGAGGAATCTTTAGGGCATATTAGAATCTAGGTTGGGTTTTGATAATAATAATCATGAATATTTAAGTATTGGGAAAATTCAAAAAATCCCAAATGGCAATGTATTCCTAAGTTGAAGAGAGAAGATCCTTTATTTGATATTAACAAATATGCAAGTTATGATGGGTGAATATGTTCTTTCATATAATGTTATTTCAAATGGTTTAAAGCTTCAAAAATAAGTATCAGCAGTTTGAAGTGGACTAAAAATGTACTGCAGAGAAAACTGCATATTGGTGATATTTTTAACCTAAACTTCAGAAGACTTCCATCAATGGTTTTATGTAGATGCTGAAAAAATACATGATATAGGTTATAGGAAGAATAATGTAGGATTTTGTTGGCTAGTAAAGTCAACATATGGCCTCGTGTTTGGAACTCTGAGGCATCCTAGATGTATGTTTAAACATTGAATGAAATATTCAAGAACATATCAAAAAGCAAAGTTGTTTACTTATGCTGTAGGCCCATGGCCATAGGGTAGAACTTCCTGAACAGATACTATCATCAAACACTGCAAGTACTCTGCCTTCTAAACCCAACACAGCCAAGTGGTCCAGAAAGGAATGTTGGTACTGAAAGACACTGACAGATCTCTCACCATTTCTTTTCAACCACTTGGAAAGTTAGGGTCGATTCTTCCTTTTCTTCCTTTTCTCTTCAGTTTCAGGTTCCTTCCTCTTTTATATGACTGTTTCTTTAGGCATCTCCTCTTCCCTTTGTTTGGCAAGGTCATTTCCACAATCAAATATGTCTACCAAATCTAACTAATACTAATATCCTTAGTTATTTTGTTTGAGAGGCTAGGTCAACGTTTTCACAATGATGTGAAGTACAAGATTTGATTAGTTTAGCTGTAAAAATACTGAATATTCTCCCCTTTTTCATTTTGTCTTTACTCTGTATATTCAGCAAATAAATAAAAACAGAGACACAGAAAATAGTTATTGATTTAATAAATTGTAAGATTTATATGGAAATGACAAAGTAGCTCTTTATTTTGTCTCATATTTATTTTTCTGTAATTCTGTGATGAAGGAATGAGTTTAAATAGGCACTTAATTAAGTTACTTTTCCTTCAAGAATTCAACTTATAGAAGGCAGTAAATGAGTAATGCATACTCCCTTAGGATATCAAAGCAGAATACAGTTTGTAGCACAAGATCAATAGATCACTTAAGAGGTAAATGGCAGAAAGTAGCTTAGTGGGTAATATGTTAGCAGTATTCCTATCCTCAAAACAAATATATTTTCTAACCCTTCCTGCTTTTCTTATTGAAGATTTCTTACTAATTGTACACAATAAGGAAAACAGAATAAATATTAAAAGGCCAAATCAATATTTGGGTCAATGTAATTTTTAACATTTTGATACAATATCTAACATTCCAGTACAAGTAAAACCTCAATTTTTGAGGACAGAGAGACTTAAATAATCCAAATGATTTTTAGATTTAAAGGATGTTCCCTGTTTCTCTTTCTTCCCTGTTACTACAGTCAACTACTAAGACTGTATCATTAAGGGTATCATTTTCAGTACTTGTCTTAGGGATAGTTGAAGAGACCCCCCCCTTTTTTGCATTGCTTTGTCAACAAGTGTTGGTCAGAGAAAAAGTCACAGTGGGGTTAAACCCAAATTTTAAGGAAGAGCAGCAAGTAGTGTCTGGAATGCTTCACCAAATTCCCAGTGGTGCCTGTTCTGTCCACAAATATATTGCAGTTCAATTTGTGTGGATGATGCACTCCCCCACCCTTTAAACTTTAGAACTCCATGTGGCACTTGCAATCAGATTTACTCCTGGCTGAAATTATCATATCGGGACCTTTCCAATCACCATATGGCTGTTGGATTCTCCGTGACCCGTCAAAACCGCGTTCCACAAAAGCGCGGTCGACGAAATCGCGTATGTGACGTCATCACAGCNTCTCTAGGCTGTGTTTTGAATCCAGGTTTGGTTGAGTTCTCAGGTGCCATGTGGGGAGTTGAGTAAAGGGCCAATATTATTATGCTTTTAATCCCATCCCCCTGGAGCTGAAGTGGAGAAGCCTTTATTATGTAAAGGGACTAGCTTGGCCTTAATGGCCCATTGACAAAGTGGGGATGGGCAGGAAGCTACAGGCAGCTAGTCTGACTTTTAAAACATTTTTTTTTCTTTTCACATCCAGAGAAATATTCTGCCTTTTCAATATTTCCTAGGATATTTCATTTTTCTGGAAGAGGGCTGGGTGATAACTTCCTACAGAAGAAAAGATAGTTTAGTTGCTTCCTCTCTGCATCCTGGAGTGAAGAGGACCAGCAAGAAGGACAGAATCAGTGGGCCATGGTCATCTTCTAGGCAGGACAGTGAATATAATTCACCGGAGCCCCACAGAAGAAACAGGCTGTTGTATGGAAATTACAAGGGAAGAAGGCAGGAAAGAAACAAAAAAAAAGTCCTTCCGGATTCCACTTAAGTTATTTTGGGATGAAGTTAGAGAAATACCAAACTTGAGCAAAAACTGTAGCGAGGACTTTCCATTCTGTGAGGTTGCGTTTGGGCCCACCCGGTTCACCCAAGAGATTGCCAGCAGGAGCAGGAGGAGGAGGCAGGTTGCTGCAGTCGAAGAGTAGCAAAAGGGAGGCGCGCGCGGTCAGAGAAAGCGAAGAACCGCTTCCGCAAAGTTTTCCTTCCCAAGGGGGAGGGTGAAAAGAGAGAGTGGGGAGGGAGAAGACCAGACGTCCCAAAGTTAATACCACAGTAAAGATGCTTTTGGGGGGGAGGCAATGATTATATTCACCGTCTATTTTAGCTCCTTGGGTCTGCGCGTTGGCTCTGCGCGTTTGGGTTCCCTAGCAATCGGTGACCAACGCGCGCCTGCCTTTCAGTTGCCGGGGGCGGAGGGATCTTTTTTAGCAACAAATATTTTGCCTCCTACGGCTAAAACGTGGGTGGAGGGTCGGGCTACTTGGCACTCATTTGAGACCCTCCATTTCTTTATGATCTCAGGGTTGCGCGCTAGCTTTGCGGGAAGGATCTTTCGCAGGACTCGGTGGAAAGGACTGACGCATGTCCCAAGCGAGAAAACCTCTTCCTTCTGAGCCCGATGGGCCAGAGCGCGCCACTTCAGCGGAAAGCAGCTGCCGGACTTCCCTCCCTTGCGGTGAGTTGCTGGGAAAATGATTTCTTAGAAGTGCGGCGATCAAAGCGTAACTGCGAGACGGTGTTTGGATTTGGGGTTTTCTGCCCTCCGAGGCTGGCCTCTTCCCGCCCCGCAGAAACTTGTAGAACGCTTCAAAGCACGAGACAAATTCGTGTTCTACGTTTCGCTTCTTCGCGTGCCTTTTCACTTGCACTTCCAAACACCATATGTACTTCCAGAAAACTCGAGTTCCTCTATCGGTGCTGTTTTCCTTTATTTATTTATTGCGACGCCTCCCACATTCCTAGGCGGGCCGAGGAATGCAGAAATACGTGAAACTTCACTCATCTAATTCCTGAACAGGCTGGCCTTCTTCCTGCAAGTATTTGCTTATATAGCTGGAATGCAGTATTGGTGCCTTGAAATAAATGTTAAGTGATTGGTTTTCTTTCATTGGGTTAGCTATGTTTGTCTGAAAAATAAATAGTTGAAGCAAGAAGGATTAGAAAAGATTCCTAGGATAACATTACCCTGATGGTAACCTACAAGTTAAGCTAGACTCTTCTGTTCATGAAATCAATAAATCAATCAGAATAGAGCCGGAAGGGACCTCCTGCTCATGCAGGAGACCCAATACCATTTCACACAAGTGACTGTCCAGTCTCTTCTTAAAAACCTTCAGTGATGAATCACTCAGAACATCTGATGGCAACTTCTATTCCACTGGTTAATTGTCCTCACTGTTTAGGAAGTTTCTCCTTAATTCTAGGTTGCTTCTCTCCTTCATTAGTTTCCATCCATTGTTTTTCGTCCTTCCCTCTGGTGCTTTGGAAAACAAGTTGATTACCTCCTCTTGGTGGCAGCCTCTCAAACACTGGAATATTGCTCTCATGGTCCTTCTTTTCTCTAGACTAGCCAATTCCAAATCCTCTAACCATGTTTAGTCTCCAGTTCTTTAATTGTCTTAGTTGCTCTTCTCTGCACTTTTTCCAAAGTCTCAACATCTTTTATTGTAATGTAGTGACCAAAACTAGATGCGGTATTCCAGGTGTGGCCTTACTAAGGCTTTATAAAGCAGTACTAATATTTCANTTTCGCTTTATTTTTACATTTTTCGATCTTTTCCATCGCGCTGTGATGACGTCACATACGCGCTTTCGTCAACCGCGCTTTTGTCTACCGCGGTTTTGTGGTGGAACCGGATTCTCAAATCTTTCATTCCAAAATAGAATTTAGATTCTGTATTTGGCTCAGTTCCCAACATAACAGATTCAGACTGTAATGGAAATGCTACATACTGCATTGTGGATTAGACAAACTTTTCTTTTCTTTTATATGGAACCAAACCCTGATACTGCCAAAGAACCCACTTCCTTAGACTGTCATAGTACCCAGGGCACACAATATCTATCCTGAATGTGATTGGGCACTCGGATTGGACAAGGTTAGCCATCACTGCTTTAGAACTACAAACTGTTTTATAAATTTCCACTGAATTGAATGATAAGTGTGATACCATGGTTTTGCAACCAGGTTCTTCTCCCAACAGCTGCAGCCAAAGTTCTGTATAAATGTTTTTATTTATGTATGAGAGAGAGAAGAAAAAGGATGCGAGATGGGGAGAAGCAAAAATGTTGTGATATTGCTATGGAGTATGAGGGTTTGCCTGAACTAGATCATAATCTTTTGGGGAAGTTGTAATTTGGAAAAGTTGCTATGTGACTGGTTGTTAAGTGAGAATTATCTGTACAATGACTTGACATCTAATAGAGAAAAAATATGTTTCTACTCTGGAGCACATGGATCCATGATGGTTGCCCTGTGAGCTATATGTAAGGGAAGTGTAGTTTCGCACACATGTGCTATAGAAGTGGAAGATGAGCTCTTCCCATGATATATGAGGTAATTGTATGGATTAGTCTTTGGGGTTTTTTTGGCCTCTCTAATGAAGTAGGAATTTGTTCACCAGAGAACAGCCTCGATCAGCATCACATTCTTTAGGAAGTGATGAAAGAAATGTCCTTCTGGGTTCGGCTCCAAATGGGGGAAAAGACACTAGAGACATGGAGGCTGCTTGGAAAGATGGTTTATTGTTGGACAGGGCCACATGGCTTGAGTCCTGAACAGNCTTTTATTGTAATGTAGTGACCAAAACTAGATGCGGTATTCCAGGTGTGGCCTTACTAAGGCTTTATAAAGCAGTACTAATATTTCATACGATAAGGATTATACTAGCTTTTTTGGCTGCTGCTGTACACTGCTGACTCAAATTTAAGTCATTTTCCCTCTCACAATTACTATTTTTGAGCCATGTTCCATCTAGTCTATATTTGTACCTTCAGTTTTTCCTGCCTAAGTATAAAACCTTGCTTTTCTCCACATTAAATTTCATTTTATTGGATAGGGCCCATTGTTCAAGTTTGTCAAGATCTTTTTGGATTCTGAGCTTGTCTTCTGGAGTGTTGGTTATTCCTGCCAGCTTAGGCTGTCTTCTTTTTTGAGTCTGATTTTTATATTGATTTTCATTATTTTATATATGGCTTGGGTTTAAAAGAGACTAAATGATGCAACTTGCATTTGAAGAGAAAAGAAATACAGTGCTCTACAACTGTTTAGTGAAAATCTCCTTGGGTGATGTAGCAGCAAGATAGTAATGGAGAAGAATTAATTAAACTTGAAATGTTTGATGATAATATATTTTCTTCTATTGTGTTTAACTGGATCATCTTTGCCATCTTGATTTCTGAAGAGCTATTTTGTAAGACCTACTATATAACATGGGTCATCCATACACATTAAGTAAGCATAAAATTAAAGCCTCTTCTTTAGTTGGCTTTAAGTTCTATTGAATACAGTTGGACTTATTTCCATGTAAATCATGCATAGGATCCCATGATTTGTATAGTGAGTGCTACTATGTATGTGTGGTTTTAACACACATACATAGTAGCAGTGGTTAAGGGTTATTTTAAAAATTAATTAATTAATCCAAAGTGCAAGGTTGCATTTTCATCCTGATGAAAATGGCTTCTCTTCCATATTTCAATTAATAGTACAAAAAAGTTCCTTTCGTCTTGACAAAAACTCTGTGTCTTTCATAATGGACTTACATTTTAGTTCAGATCAGAATTGGGGAAGGAAAGGTATTTAAAATTATGTCTGGAAAGTTCATCTAGCGAAAAATGTTTCATTCTTAGGTATTGAATGCTCCCCATTACTCTGTTTTTTAAAATTGGTGTCACAAGCATCACAATTAAAGTAAGATGTATTATATGATATAAAATTTAAAACATAAAATGCAAGATTAAAATATGTACAAATTAAACAGATCTTGCCCAGAAACTAGCAACATTAATTGTGTTCTATTGTTCTGCCATGAGGTCCTCAAGTGTACACTGATAGGGGCACAAAGGGCAGGTATACATATTTGTTGTTGTCTGCATGTCACCACAATCACAAAGAGCAGAAGCAACAGAGAGCCCATTGTTAAGAGTGTCTCTGGATCTTGTTGTACCTTTGTACAGTCTATTCAATAATTTCCATAATTCCCAGCTTTGATCAGACCCAGGTGCCAGTTGGTTCTATCCAGTGTTCAGTCTTTGTAGGTTTCCATAAATCTACTCTGCTTTCAAAATTTTCAAAGTCTTCCATTGATCTAAAGAAATTTTTCCTGAATTTTAGTCTCTGCTGAGCTAGTTGTTGGCCATAGAAAGATTGTTGTCTATATATTGATGATTTGAGTCTCTTTCTGTATGCTTCTTCTTCTTCTCTGTGAACAGCAGGCGGGGTAATGCCAGCTAGATGATAGATCTCATCTGGAGGGGTAGGTTCAAGGCATTTGGTGAGAAGTGAAACATTTTCAAGGAAAAAGGGCGTTGGTACTTACCTGATACACCTCTTCTCATAGTGGGGGGAGGAGTATCCAGAGTGGGTTGACCTTGTCCTCTCATGATTGGATGAGTCAGATAAGCTCTTTGGGCAACGCCCCCTGGCCACCAGGTATTCCCCATATTTGACGAAGAGCTCTATCTGACTCGTTGCACCATTCACTCCAGACTCTTAATCCAGTTCTTAGCTTTTATCATCTTCTACATCAATATTTATATAACTTCATAAACAATGAACATAACACTTAGTCATACTAACATAGTCAGGGAGGGGCTGGATGCTCCTCCGCCCACTATGAGAAGAGGTGTATCAGGTAAGTACCAACGCCCTTTTTCCTTGAAAATGT